TGAAGTTACAGGAAGAAAGGATCTGAAGTGAGGAGTTACATAAAGCAAATTAAGATTTTAGTTCCTAGAAAGAATCACATCTTCAAAAGTGCTTATTTTATTCACTTCGAAAGGTTAAAAGAGAAGGTAAACTAGAGATAATATTTTTACAAGTTATCTGGAAAGCATAACACTATAAAAGTGAAAGGAAGTATAGAATTAGAGAAACTGAATTTTCATTTTTAGAACTTTTCAGCGTAAGAAACCAAAAAATTTTTCCTTGGACAAATATATATGCGTGGCATTTCACTTTGTTCTTAAGCCCCCACAGACATGACTCACCCGTCATTACACAAGAATCTTTTAACCCTAAAAAACAAGTTCCAAATTCTAACTATTCTTCCTCTTTCTGCTTTTCCTCTTGCCTTTATTTCTTTCCTGTTACTTTTGAAAATTTTGCCTTTTGTAGTTTTTGTTGATTTTGTGTGCAAAGTTTAGTTTGATTTTCCTCTGGGTCAATGTTTCTACACTTGCACAATCATAAGAGTCACCTGGGATATTTGCAAAGTAAATATAATGATTCAAGACCCCATTGTAACCATACCAAATAAGAATCTCTCAGCTTGTAAAAAGCTCCCCCTTCCCCACGTGACTACTGTTACCAGGAAAGTTTAAGAAACACCACTATAGGTAAAGTGTAATCAATACACTTTACAAGATAAACTTTTATAACAAGTGAATCATCTGAATATCTTTTCAAGGTAATAATAATCACTGTTGGCTTGAGTGTTTACTTTAGATGAAGCATTCAAAGTAAATTTAAATTGTTTTCAACTTCAACTCAATAAGCAATCATGGATTAATACAAAATTTCTGTGATCCATTCAGGTCCTGCTCAGGTTCCAATGATGTCCCCAAATGGTTCTGTGCCTCCTATTTATGTGCCTCCTGGATACGCCCCACAGGTATGTTTTTATGTTTTTTCTTTTTATATTTATATGGGGGTTTTCCCCTTTTTTTTTTGAGACAGAGTCTCGCTTTGTTGCCCAGGCTAGATAGAGCGAGTGCCATGGTGTCAGCCTAGCTCACAGCAACCTCAAATCCCTGGGCTCAAGCAATCCTGCTACCTCAGCCTCCTGAGTAGCTGGGACTACAGGCATGTGCCACTATGCTTGACTAATTTTTTGTATATATATTTTTAGTTGGTCAATTAATTTCTTTCTATTTATAGTAGAGACGGGGTCTCGCTCTTGCTCAGGCTGGTCTCAAACTCCTGAGCTCAAGTAATCCTCCCACTTCAGCCTCCCAGAGTGCTAGGATTACAGGCATGAGCCACCATGCCTGGCCTCTTTTTATATTTATATGATAGGTATAATGGTATTCTCTTTAACTTTGGTTCTGATGAAAAATGCTATTTAAATGCTGAGGCTTACCCAGTATGGTATATCTTTGATAAGTCTGTTTATTTCAAGTATCTTAATACATTTGGAAAGAAGGAATAAATTATATTGGCAGCACTCATTTGGCCATGTCGTTGGGTATTGAATTAAAAAAGGATTCACACTCTACAGTTTTATCTCCCTGAATATGTGACTAATGTAAACAATATCCTAAGTTATAAAGGTGCCCGCACTGACTTTTTAATTAACCATTTGCTTAAAAGTAACCCAGTACAATGCTTCTAAGTTTATTTATACAATGGCTCTCAGACACTGAGAATAATTCTATGGCATATTGTAGTAAAGAGAATAGAATTTAGACCTGCAGCCCTAAGGGCTGACGGATCAATATCACTGTACAACTGTAACCCTTTCTGCGCTGTGGTTGGGAAGTCAGACTTCCCAACCACAGTAAGCTCTGACTTCCCAACCACAGTAAGAGTAAGGTATAGCTAACTTATGTACACAGGCAAATTGAATTAAATTGTAAGGTCTGCACGTGTTTAATATCTTCCACTACTGAGATAATCTATGTAGTCTGCACTTACTGCCTTAAATCCCTTTAGGGAAATAATTCATTTTCTCTTCCTAGCACTGAATTTACTCTTGAAGTTTTGTTCAAGCCCTCGCTTTCTTCCTTTCTGATTATGTCAGAATATTGGTGGGATATTATGGTGGATTCTCTGCCAACTTTATGAAGCATACTACCATATGAATGACAGCAAAAGAAGAATGTGCTGGGAGGGGGAGAATGGAATGAGATTTAGAATCAGAAAACCTGGATCCCTATCTTATTTCAAACCCTTGCTGACTGATGGCCTTGGACAAATTAATTTCCTAAGTCTCAGTACTCTCACTGTAAGATGAGATGATATCACATGAGATACCATATTTGAAAATACCTTCTAAGCTTTACAGAAGAATAGTCTCTGCTTACTGTGTCTACTTTTGTTTGATATACTGACTCCTTAATGTAGTCTGCATTCTGCCTATATTAACCTACTAAAAACTGCTCTGCTATGTACCAAGTCCAGAGGCCTTTTTTCCAGCTTGATCCTCTTTGACTGCTAAAAATTTGACACCACTGATAATGATTTACTGCAGTTTTCTTTGACTTAATGCTGCCCTGATTTTTTTCTTCTATTGTTCCTTCTCAGAACTTTCTTCACTTACATAAAGACAGCTCTCTAACTTAGTTCAATTCAACAAACATTTATTGAGTGGCACCATGCACCAAGCTCTATATTACGAGGTACTGACATAAAGGTGATTAAGCCAAGTTCTTTCAATGCAATTATAGTTTATTCTGTTGTTCTCTCAGCTTATAATCTTTCTTTTTATTTTTACTGCAAACTCCTACCCTTCTAATTTCACTCCATTATTAGCTTCTAAAATCAATTTTCCCAGAGCCTTTCCAGGTGCCTCTCCTTTTGGGCTTTCATGGCATACTATATATCCCTCTTTTAATGAATTTATTACAGTTTGTTAATTCTCTTTCTTGAGAAGATTATGAATTCTTACAGTTCCTCTATTCAACAGTATTCCACAAATACGTATTGAGTGCTCATATATGTCAGGCACTCATGAGTGCTTGGAATATATATCCATGAATAAAATACATAAAGACTCCAGTCCCTCCGTAGTTTACATTCTTGTTGGGAGAAGCAAACAAAAAGCATAATAAATGAATAAATTACATAGTGTGGTAGGTGGTGAGTGAATGGAAAAAGAAGAAAGAAAAAAGAGCTGGTTACATTTTAAAATAGAGTGGTCAGAATAGGCTTCACTGGAAAGGTGACTTTTGAGCCAAATCTTAAAGGACAGGTAGAGTTACCTGTGCATTTATCTGAGGAAAGGATTCTGGGAACAGAAACAGCCAGTGCAAATGGCCTAAGATGACAGCATGCCAGGGAACAGCAAGGAGGCCAGTATGTCAGAATAACAGGGAATGACGTCAGAAAAGTAAGGAGTCTAAATCATATAGAACTCTTATTCATCTTTGTGTCTTCTATGCTGAGTAAAGTGACAGTGCCTATCATATAGTAGGGGCTCAGTAAACATTTATAAATCAATCAAATCATCCAAGTTGAGCTTCTATATCTTTAGCCAAGAGCCACTACAATAACCTTCTTATGGAACTTTTTTGATCAGAAAGAGCCTTTAGTTGGCTTGTCCACTCAATGAAGTCTAGATTTCCTGATATTTAAGGCCTACACAGTCTGTTCTACCTTGTCTTTGCACCATTCTCTTAAATACTTCCAATCATATATCCATTTTTGCAGCCAAACATGACTCCTCACAAACTCACTTGGTGTTTTCCGTTCTCCATGGTTTTGTTAAGGCCGTTGTTTAGGGAATGTTACTCATTTTTCCATTTCTGCCTTTTGAAATTCTGTCTGTTCTTGAGGGCCTTGATCAAGTTATTGTACCACTTCTTGGTTATAAGACATACCACCTAATATTATAATTGTATGTACAGTCAGCCCATTTCTATCTGTGGATTCTGCATTTGTGGGTTTAACCAACTACAGATCAAATATTTGGAAAAAAAATCTCTGTTGAACATGTACAGACATTTCTTTTCTTATTATTCCTTAAACAATACAACTATTTCCCCAGCATTTACATTGTATTCAGTATTATAAGTAATCTAAAGATGATTTAAAATATACTAAAGGATGTTTGTAGGTTATATGCAAATACTACACTATTTTATATCAGGGACTTGAGATTTCAAGGATTTTAATATCCATGGGAGATCTTAGAACCATTCCCCCATTTATACCAAGGGACATCTGTGGATACATCTTTACTCCTATAGGATTTTAGGTTCCTCCAGGATAGGAGCTGCCTCTTAATTATTTTTATGTTCTTATGGTAACTCAAATTTAGTAGGTGTCCCATAAATAGTTGTCACATAAAGTAACGAACTTTAAAAATAACCTGGCTGGAAGGATTGTGTAAGGCTAGGGGGCTATACTATTATCAGTCTTAAAATCAAGATTATCTCTAGGAAATGTTATCATTTTCAAGCATACCAGGTAATCCAAAGGAAAAAATCTATCTCTTTTTTTTTTTTTTTAAGACAGAGTCTCACTCTGCTGCCCAAGCTAGAGTGCTGTGGCATCAGCCTAGCTCATAGCAACCTCAAACTCCTGGGCTCAAGCAATCCTTCTGCCTCAGCCTCCCCAGTAGCTGGGACTACAGGCATGCACCACCATGTCTGGCTAATTTTTTTTTCTATATATCTTTAGTTGGCCAATTAATTTCTTTCTATTTTTTAGTAGAGATGGGATCTTGCTCTTGCTCAGGCTGGCCTCGAACTCCTGACCTTGAGGGATCTGCCCTTCTGTCCTTCTTGGCCTCCCAGAGTGCTAGGATTACAGGCATGAGCCACCTCGCCCAGCCTATCTCATTATTTTTGAAATAATTTAAGTACCCAGCATATAAGATTATATTCTTGCATTTTCACATCACTATTGAAACATCCCCATTCCTTGACATACACAGTTCCTGATGTTAGAAAACACTTATAAGAGACAGGTTGTAGGTACAACTAAGTACTCAGTGATGGTTCAAAACTTGACACATAAGCAAATATAATGTTAGCAAAAGCTGGGAGTTCAAGTATGAAAACACATCCATAGTTATAATGTACAGGTCTCAACAGGAACCAAGTAGCACACACATGAATAGCTATCATATAGAGTCTCCTTTTAGACTTTCATATGCTGATCTCCCCTCGTGGCAACATCTTTTATCACCTCCATATCTTCCTTCTGGGTATCTGTCATTTAAGGACAGTGGTACAGAGAGGTCAAATAATGTTTTTGCTGTATCACCCTATTTCTAGTAATTCAGTACATACTAATAGGATTCTGCAATTTATGCATCCTAAAAAGTTTGGTCAGCCAAACAAGGACTGCAGAAATTAAAATCCAGTGTTGAGCTTGCTTAGATCCTTCCATCACTGAGGAAATAGCAATGCTGCCTAAGAGCATGTTGGGACAGAAAAGTGAAAGGTCCAAAAGATAGACTTCAATTTAAGCTAAAGGTTTAGTGAAAGTACTTATAGGAGAAACACATGAAGAAAACATGATTTACGCAGGATATATCAACCTTCAAATTTGTGATGTTTGTACCAATTTTTTTGTCCTTATTAAGTTTAGAAACACTTCAAATGTGAACTCATCATTATTTTATGTGTATTTTTTAACTTTATTTTTCAGAGCAACATTAGATAGCCAGGGCATCAGACATTGAGTAACTTTGGGAGTAATTGGTTCTATTTTTCTCATTTGACATTTCTAAAGCACATACCAGCTACCTGTTGTATTATACTTCCTTTACATTCTTATTCAAGAATTCTACAATGTTATTTATTTTGTAATCTTTGTACCTTATTGCTCTGATACTTTAGCATTATACTCAATAGTAATGAGAACCTAGATTATGTTATTCTGTTGACCTTAAGTTTTGAAGAAAAAGTTAATATTACAGAGGTATTAAATGCCCCTGTCACCAGAAGGGTAGAGTTCCTAAGGACAGTTTTTCCCCTTTCCATTTGTGAACAACAGCTCTTAAATGGGAAAAATAAACTTAATTTTTCAGTTATACCCACAACTTTAGTTATTGATCAGACTTTAGTTATTCATCAGAAAAATGAATCATCTTTTTTAAAGTCATTTTTAAAAAAAACAACACATTAACCATGATACTATATGATGCTGTCCAGTATGGTAAGGAGACCTAAAGCTAATTAAAATGATATGCAGAAAGTAAAATGAAATTATTCACCAGAATCTTAACTATAAATGAATATTAATTTTGCAAATAAAATATGAAAAATATACTCAGTGATAAAGAACAAATATAGTGGTGTATTTTTACCTATTGTTCTGATCATGATTATGTAGAAAACTTGGAAAATTTAGAAAAGGGTAGGGAAAAAATTGCATTGAGTGATACAACCAGAGATACTCTCTGTAAATATTTAGTATATTTCCCTTTAGACTTTTTCTATAAAACTATAAACATTATTAAATATATACAGTGTTGATACTTAATATGATTATTTCCCTGGTCCATTAAATATATTTCAAAAATATATTAGTTACATATATTTAAAGTTTTAGCGGCTATATAATCTGTAATGTCAATATATCTCAATTTGTTTAATTATTCCCATTTTGTGATTATTTAGGCTCCTTCCAGTTTTTCTTTTGCAATTATAAAGATACAGATAATATCTTCACAAATCATAGTTTTGTTTCTTATTTCCTTAGGATAAGTTTTTGGATATGGAATTATTAATTCAAAGGGTCTGAATGTTTTTTAGGCTCTGGATACATACTTTAAGTTTTTTCCCAGTGATGTTCACATCAATCACATTCCCACTAACTATACGTGACAGTTAGCTGCACCTTCCCTAACACTGATTATTAGAATACCCATTAGTTTTCACTTTCTTTTAAACATCTTTTCTTCTTTATGGTAGAGTTTCTCACATGTATACAAAAGTAGAATAAGTAGTATAATTAAGCACCTTGTACTCATAACCAGGCTTCAACAATTATCAACATGGGGTTGCTCATTTTTTTAATCATACTAACACATTTTTAAATTACTGGAATATTTGTAGACCCATTCCTAAATATCATTTCACCTATATTTAATACTTTTTTCCTACTTAACCAGCAACTTCAGCTGTTACATACCGGGTAAGCTTATACTTCAAAATAGAAAAAAGCCTCAGAAAAGGCAAACTGTTTGAAAGGATGATACATAGTCCATACACCAAGATTACATACTTTACTCATAGATAAGCTTTGTTGCCGTTTCTGGGGCCTCGTCCTTATTTTAGAAAGGGAAGATTTTGAGAAACTGACATACTGCATAGAGGCAGAAATATATGCCAACTGAACTAAGGTAACAAATGGGGAAACAAAACAAAAAACTGTAAACTTTAAACACAAAGCAAATGGTGACAGGAGTAGAAGGAACTTAATTCACTGGCAAATAGTACTAATTTATAGTCCCTAAGAGCATTGCACTGCAGGACAGAATAACACTTGATATTTTAGTGATGAAGTTAATTACTTACCAAGAAAAGTTTATAAACTGCCTGAATGGGAGTCCTAAAAGAAAACATCAAGTTTTTCTGCCTTCTGTCATGGCTCCCCTAACTGTTTTTTATGGAATGTCTGTTGTTATGGTGATGAGAGAGTACATAATGGGGAGGGGTTTGTAGATCTCATAATGTAGGGAAAGGGCCTATATCAACTTCAGGAAAAGTTTCAGTTTACTCCTTTGAGCTGTGCTTGCTATTTCACTTTGGCTGTATGTCAGCATGCAGCAGTAAGGTCAGTACTTTTTACAAAGATTCTGCAAACCAGTTTGATCTGTCTTCTCTTCTGTCTCTCCTAGGGAGAATAGCCAAAGGGTATGGGCAAGGGGGTGTGGGAGACTGGAAAGTAGGAGGACCTAGAGGTTTAGATGAGGACAAAGAGGTATAGTGAGACCTGGAGAGAAAGGAAACTATGGTCTCTTACTGACCTATGTATGTGTTTGGAGATACATGAGATAAATGTTTGTTGAATAAATGGTTAGAAATAGCCATATTATTGGTTAAGAGCTTAAAGTCAGAGTAGTTCTGGGTTCAGGGTGAGACCATAACAGTAGGCTGCTAAAAGTGGAGGGGAAGTAAAGGTTGTAGGAATTGAGGAAATCACAGAACCCTAATAGCTTGGTGGTGTTTACAGGGGAGAAGGTAATGTAGCATTCTAGTAGAACTAATAGAATACATATATTTCTTATCATAGTATTCATTCAGCAAACACTTTTAGAGGATCTGCCTGTGTGCTAGGTACTATTCCAGGTCCTGGGGAAAAAACAGTAAGCAAATCAGATTTATCATAAAACTTATATTCTGGTGAGGAAGACACATACACAATGTAAAATGTCAGATGGTCTATACAACTCCTTTCTCTACAGCCCTTCTCAATTATGTCTGTGTTCAGTAAAGGAAAGAAAGCAGGTCGTTGCCTAATTAAAAATTAGCTGGCATCTGTAGTTAAGTGGTCAGACTATGCTGATAGCCCCATTTAATTATGTTTTATTGTCTTATCTATGTTTTAATTTTTTTAATGTAGATTAATTTGAATATTTTATCTTTTCCTTTTTACAACTTTTTGATTTTATTTTAATCATCACCATCAGTGTACTCTGTGAAATTTGACATCTACATGGTTGGCCATTTCACAGCAGCTAGGTCTCTGGAAACTTAACAGATAGTTTTGAGGTCTTTGAGGTCTCTGGCCTCCCTCCGAAGTTACTGACTGCTTAGATCAATGGTCCCCAACTTTTTTGGCACCAGGTACCAGTTTCATGGAAGACAGTTTTTCCATGGACAGGGGTGGAGGGTGGATGATTCAAGTGTATTACATTAATTGTGCACTCAAACATCTTATTTGCAGCCATTTCTCAGCACTCGCATCACCACTTCAGCTTCGCCCCAGATCATCAGGCATTAGATTCTCATAAGGAGTGTGCAACCTAGATCCCCTGCATGTGCAGTTTACAGTAGGGTTCATGCTCCTATGAGAATCTAACGCTGCTGCTGATCTGCCAGGAGGCAGAGCTCTGGCAGTAATGTGAGCAAGGGGGAGTGGCTGTAAATGCAGATGAAGCTACGCCCCCTTGACTGCTGCTCACCTCCTGCTGTCTGCTCTGCAGCTCAGTTCCTAACAGGCCACAGACCGGTACTGGTCCACAGCCCAGGGGTTGGGGACCACAGGCTTAGATCATTACTTGAAGTGGTGGAGTTTTCCATGCTCTTTTGGTCTGGCTCTATTTTGCCTCTTCCATCTACACGTTGGATTTTTGGTGGGATTTTGTTGCTATTTTTTTTTACAGTAAAATACACATAAAATTACCATCTTAACCATTTTTAAGTGTACAATTCAGTGACATTAAGTACATTTATATTGTTGCACTACCATCACCCCCTTTCATCTATAGAACTCTTTATCTTGCTGAAAACTGAAGCTCTGAAGCTGTTACAATAACTCCTTATTGCCCCCCCAAGCTTATCTTTATATTTTAAATGTTCTTTCTCACCAGAACAGTGATTTTAATTTCATAAGTAATTTAGCCATTTCTTTTTTAACCAAATGAGATCTTACATGTGTTGTGAAACAAAAAAAGACACTAAAAATAGAATTCTATGCCCATGAAAACATGGGTAAGAACATGGAATCTAAAGCCAAATCACCTGAGTTCAAATATTATCTCCTCCTCTTACTACCTGTGTGACCCCGGGCAAGTTATTTAACATCTCTGTGCCTCAGTTTCCCCATCTAAAAAATTGAGCTAGTAATAGTAACCCACTTAAAGCATTGTTATGAAGATTAAATAATGTACATCTCTTGAGAAACTTAAGTTATAGAGTAAGCGATATGCATCTAGAAAACAAACATTACAGTATTATAAATATCAAATAATAATATGTTTAGTAGAATAAACACAATAGAAATTCATAGGAGTGAGAGGTCACTGGGATTGTAGTGCCTACATATGGATTCATGGAGGAGCAATCGAAAGAAATTTTCCGCAGACTCCTAGCCCCACATCTCTACCAGCATCTGCAGTTACGTGCTCTGCCTTCTCATCCACACTCATAAACTACTTCCTTGTCTGTAATACAGACAAACTTTCCTGCTTCTGTCCAGACCCAGTGCCCCCACCGAAGTACAGTAACCCATCTCCTTTTGCCTGTTCAAGGACATTACTCTAACATTTTTCTTCTGTCTCTTCTACATCATTAGTTTCTTTTTCTCTGCTGGATCATTCTCATTAGTACATCAGCATGTTGTAATTGCTCTCACTAAAAATAACAAAACACTAACACAGTTTCTTGACTTCACTATTCTTACTAGCCACAACTATTTCTATATTCCCTTTTGCAGCAAAACTTTACAAAACTGTGCTAGTAACTCTGTTTCTTCTTACTTTCTCTCTTAAACCCATTACAATGAGGCTTTGACCCTATAATTACACTGAAACTGCTCTTATCAAGGTCACAGTAATGTCTGTATTTCTATATTTCTTAGTCTTCATCTTACTTGACCTGTCAGTAGCATTTGACTCAATTGGTGCTTCCTCCTTGATACAGTTCACCAGACTTTCAAATTACACTGTCTTAGTTTTCCTTCTGCCTTACTTAGTTGTCCTTTCCCAATCTTTCTGAAACCACAGACTAGTATATCTTAACAGTCTACTTGACATTTCCACTTAGATGTCTCATAAACCAAACTCACAAGTTCAAAACCTGAAATTCCAAATCTTTTCCACTCCAAAAAAAACTTGTTCTACCCCACAGCCTTCTCCATCACAGTTAATGGAACACCATCTTTCCATAACTTCTTTTTCTTACTTCCCACATGGAATCATTAGCTAATCTTATTGTTCTACCTTTAAGTATATGCAGAATTGTGAGTCACTTCTCACTACCTCTACTACTACCACCGTAGTCCAAGCCACCATCATCTCTTGCCTAGATTACTGCAATAACTATCTGAATGGTTTCCCTACTTTTGTCCTTGCCTTCCTCCATTCTATTCCTATCAAACAGGATAATCTTTTATTCTATGAAGTTGTCTGCTGTGTTGTAAAATGTTTAGCAGCGTCCTTGACCACTTTACCCACTAGATGCCAGTAGCACCTTCTGATATGACAACCAAAAATGTCACCAGACACTACCAAATGGCAATAATCACCCCTGGCTGTGAAACACTAGGTTATGTCACTCTTCTGCCCAAAACTCTGTGATGATTTCTCATTCCACTAAGAGTAAATACACAAGTCCATGTCCTTAATAGTAGTCTATATGGTGCTACCTGACCTAGCCACCCCATGCACCCTTCATTTCTTTAACTTGATCAGCTTCTACTGTTTCTCCTTCTTTATACTCATCCAGTCACACTGGCTTCCTTCCATTCATTGGGTATAGTCAGCCCCACTTCTACCTTAGGGACTTTGTTCTGTTTCCTCTGCTCAGAACAATCTTCCAGGTTTCATTGCATGATTAATTCCTTTACTTCCTTCAAGTTTCTGCTTAAATTTCACTTTGCGAATAAGGCCTACCCTTCTCACTCTATTTTATTCTGCAGCCTGTTCCCCTCCCACAATATTTCTCATCCTCCTCTCCTGCTCTGCTTTTTCTATGCTCACGCCTGTAATCCTAGCTCTTGGGAGGCCGAGGCGGGCGGATTGCTCAAGGTCAGGAGTTCAAAACCAGCCTGAGCAAGAGCGAGACCCCGTCTCTACTATAAATAGAAAGAAATTAATTGGCCAACTGATATATATATAAATTAGCCGGGCATGGTGGCGCATGCCTGTAGTCCCAGCTACTCGGGAGGCTGAGGCAGAAGGATCGCTCGAGCCCAGGAGTTTGAGGTTGCTGTGAGCTAGGCTGACGCCACGGCACTCACTGTAGCCTGGACAACAAACCGAGACTCTGTCTCAAAAATAATAATAATAATAATAATAATTTACTTTTGTTGGGTTTTCCTGTCCCTGTTAGTATCTGTTCGCCCCCAAATATATCACTCTGAGATTCTTCCTCTCATAAGTTATCAATTTCTTTGTTTTGTTCAAAAACAATTTTTTTTTAGTGAGTGGAGTATGTAAAGTTAGATCTAGATTTGAGAGGATAGATAGGATTATAGACTAAGAGGAAGCAAAATGAAGAAGAAAAATTGCATAAACAAAAGTACAAGATACTGAAAGGTAAAGGTCATTGTGAAGATGGGTTTTAGTATACCAGCCTGATCCAGTTAAGGGTTTAGGATTTGGTACAAAACAACAATATAACTAAAAAGGTAGTTTGAAACCAGGTTGGATAAATATAAGATATAATCCTATCAGAAGTAGGGCGTCTTTAAAGATTTGTGAATCAGAAAATAATAAAGGTAAAAGTGGTATTGTGACAGATACTGTGGTTTTGCTCACTCAGAATCCATTCCAAACTCTTTCTAATGTACCTTATTGTAAAGGGACATTAGGAGCTAAATAGCTATAAACCGCTCCCAGATTCCCTTCAACTAGGGTTCTAGATATGATTTAGTTTCCATCACTCTCATGCACTTGCCTGAGACTTAAATTCAGAACTGAATTAAATAGGGAGAAAAAGGGCTGAGGAATCTGTTTGGCAAGAAGGAAGGTTCTAGACCTAGCACATAAAAAATAGTTCATTTGGTCTTCTAGTCCTGTATTAGAAAAATC